TCACTGCAAAAGTCAAACTCCCGACCTTGTCCTGCCTTGCCCTTGTCGGTGGAGTTCTCCACGGAACTACCCCATCAGAGACCCATCAGCCATGGCATGTTCTAGTTGGAAGCACAGGCAAATTTTGTTCTTGCTCTTCAATTGCACTGAGAACTTATCACCTATATATCATGGAAAAGGTATCTGTCTATAGGTCTCTCACCCAATCTGAACCACTCCGACCTCACATCCTACACATCTGCAGAATCTTAATGTGAGCATGTCAGGAGGCTCTCCTACCATCTTGGTAGGGGCAGGATTGGTCCAAAACTCCAAAAAAAAAATTGACAGACCGATCTTAGCACCTCCATGAAAACATCACAACTTGAACTGTTGCTCCTTCCTCACCACTGTCACCCAGTTCCTGCCGTTTCCCTGTTTTCCTCACCAAGAGTCTCTCGTTTTGCATCATACCTTAGCAGTCTTCGGGGCGAACAGGGGCGTCAGTTTTCCTGCCAGACATCCCGACATGCGCTCTTTCTCATCTGGACATGCAACACGCGAGAATGCTGTGAATTTAGCGGAGAATGCCAATAAGAGCGCCTATGGCAGCATACTCCAACCCAGAAAAAAAGAACAACATCTTACCAATGCATTCTTTTCACAAGGAACTGTTGAGACCGTGTGTGTGACTTGAGGAACCCCCGCCGTCGAAATAGATAAACAAGAAGGTTTAGCGTTCATGGGCAAACCTTGGCAAACTGTATCTGACTCATTGTTAAAGCACTTGAGGACTAAACCGAAAATATGCTTGCAGCTTGCCTGCAAAATAGTGGGAACTCAAGCTAAGCCATGTAAGTACAGAAACTGCCAGCCTTCATTTGTTGACCAACAGTTTCTCCCTTCAAGCCTCAAATGTTGCCAAAAAAGAACACACACTTATGATTGGGTGTACTGAACTGAATGCCCCATGCCACACGCCAGCCTAAGAAAACCAAGTCCTGAAAAACCAGGTGAGGGGGCCTGAGCGCCTTTAATTAAAGGCCAAAGTTCCAAAACCACGAAGCGACGAGCCGACAGGATGACGACGTGCCGTGCATGACTGCAGCTGCATTAGCACTTTACAAAAGGAAGAAGAATGGCCACCAGCTGCGGCTTACAATGCGCCCAGGTGCACCAAGCAGGTACGTTTTCCTGATCATCCAGTGTGGAGCTTCGTTGGCAGAGGCCACAACTGGAGATCCCTCTGCCCCCTGCTCAAAAACAATTCAAAAAGAATCCCTGTGACTACAAGGGGCACACACACAGGCCTCCTGAAGGGGAGGCGCTCTTACCTAGTAGCGTCCTTGCACCTAGTAGTAAGGCCAGAAGCCCCTAGTAGCGTCCCACTCTAAGGTCCCGACAGGAGAGAGGGGTAGGGAGAGAAGAGAAGAAAGAAAAAGAAGAAAGGAAAGGAAAAGAAGGTGTTCCCAGCTACGACACAAGCGTCCAAGGACACACCAAGAGAAAAGAAGGGTTCCCAGCTATGACAAAAGCATCCAGGGACACCCAAACAAGAAGGAGGGAAAGGAAAGGAAGGAGAAAAGAGAGAGAGGGAAAAGAGGGGCAGAGGACAAGTGTTCCCAGCAGGGGTTGGGGGGAGGAAGGGGGACTAAGCTCTCGACAGGTTCCAACGAACCTCAAAAGTGCTTTGACCGCTGTGGTCACCTTGTGCCCTGCCAAAGTGGCTGGCTGCTTAGACCGCTGCGGTCACGTAAAGGCATGAGCCAGCTTGGAATTCCAAAAAAGAGACAAAAGTCTGAGTTCTCTCGGCCTAGGCCACCTACGCTCGCTGCGAGCTGCTCTGGCCCCGGGCGCAGGGACAAGATAAACCCCCGTTCGACGGGTCCACGGGAGGCACTCTGCGGGCTCATCCCGGGCTGGCATGAAGCCAGACACACTTATGATTGGGTGTACTGAACTGAATGCCCCATGCCAGCAAATCCTGAAAAACCAGGTGAGGGGGCCTGAGCGCCTTTAGTTAAAGGCCAGGAATTTACAAAAGGAAGAAGAATGGCCAGCTGCGGCTTACAATGCGCCCAGGTGCACCAGGCAGGTACGTTTTCCTGATCATCCAGTGTGGAGCTTCGTTGGCAGAGGCCACAACTGGAGATCCCTCTGCCCCCTGCTCAAAAACAATTCAAAAAGAATCCCTGTGACTACAAGGGTCACACACACACACACACACACACGCACGTGTCGCCCTATCCATGAGGGTTGACCTGAATGTTCTCTCAATGTGGACTGTCGCAAATCCCATATTTAAATGATGGAAGGCTGTTCACATCAATCATCATCAATCTCCTATCATGCATTTAAAAACCGATTCCCATAATCCTTTAGCAAAAGCACATGTGTCTGCTCGCTCCCCCCTGCAGCTTGGCAACCACCTGAAACTCCATGAGCGGCATGACCATGATTTTCGTGACCATGATCACCATGGTCACCATGTTTGTGTTGGTCGTGAAGCGAGTGATGGTCCCGGAAAAGCTTTTGGCCTTCGGGTGTATGCCTCGCAGAATCCAACGTTCCGCTGACGCGAACCGAACGATTTTACGTCCCTTTGTTGCCAACGATTCACCTGCTCTCACCACCATAGCGACACAAACTCTTTGCTGGAGGATTTTGTTTGCAAAAGTATGTTTTGTTTGTGAACAAATCTTGCAATGACACATTGAATAAAAATTGATGATCTGAACATTTCTGTAAAATTCCAACTCTCGTGGGGCCCGATTCCCGATGCGAACCTTTCGCCTTGAAAGAGAACCTTTCGTCTTTGCTTTCGCGAATCTTCCCCACATGTGTGCTACCTGAAAATCCAAAGATTCCAAATACACCCAAACCATCCAATCTACCATGTCAATTCAACAAGTTCCAATGCACAAACGAATGTAAAGGTGGTACAAACATCTCATGTATCTTCGCCTGTCACCAATCCTTCACTTCCCTTCCACCAACCTTTTGTGTCGCGAAGCGAGTGCAGAATTGAACAACTCGATTGCTCGGCATTTCATGCGGCTGAAGCCACAACCCAATGCCGGTGCTGACAGCATTGGAAGAAACCCCCTATCACTGCACCCCCGCGGAAAATCATCGACCCACAGCCCAGCCCGCCCAGACCCGTCAGGTTTGCTTGGGGTCTGCTTGGATGCTCCCGACTCCAGAAGTACGAAGACCTCCCCTTCTCTGCTCTGGTTGTATGGGGCAATAAGATTGGTGTCAGAGATGGAGATGGAGCGGAACTGGGTCCACGTACTGCGATGCCAAAGTGAAGCCCAAGAAAGTCCGAACGAGGCTCTGAGACTCTCCAGTCCAAGCCACAAGTAGCGAATCTGATCTCGGAGTAGTTGAACCCTGAGAAGATGCGAACTCTGCCAAACATGCACAAACTAAGTCAATGAGAGGCAAAAAGGTCTCAAATACAAGCATATTTGCACAATCTAAAGACAAGCTTTGCAGCAACACCAAACAAAAGCTTGGAAAACGATTGATTCGTTCTCCACCCTCGCTTGAACGGGCCAATACTCCTTCTGCCCCTACAGTGGTGTGTGTGTGTGTGGCATACATATATAATGTACATATTATGAGTTCTATTATAATATATATATATATATGATCCACCTCATCAAACAACAACACTTCTAAAGCAGTCACACTGGGACCCATCAGACCCAACCACACATCGATGTTGGTATACGTGAGTGCTCGCGTCCCTGCTCGCTGAGAAGCTCTTGCTTGTGTGCAGCACACATCTTTTCCACCAAATGGAAAAAGTGCTCCTCCTCGATCACGTCCATCCTGCACGTGCGAAACTCTAATACTCGGGCCTCGGGCCCCGAGCAACAGCGAAAAGCAGTCCCGCCCTGAAATGTTCTGATTTGTTGGTATACAACCAACAGCTGAGTCTCAAATATAGGTTAATTAATTCCCACACAGAATCAATGAAGCGTGGTTGGTCAAGAGACCAATGGTGCCAAAACGCCAGACACTCAACAAGCATGTGAATGAAGCCATCTAAAGACGAAAGTGTGAAACACGACAACGACAACCACCTGCTCCAAGCGAGGTTCGTGCACGGCTGGGCGTCGCGGATGTGTTCTGAAGAGAATCCGGTCGATGTGGGTCGCTGTGTGCCGTCAGTCACTCCTGTGAGACTGACAGGTTTCTTGCATTCGTGGTGGGCACATCACAAATGTAAGTGTGTTTATTATTCTTGCGGTAGCTCACACAAGGTCTTGACCCACTGAGAGCTGGCACTGAGAATTCCATCGTGCAAGAGTGCCTTCTGTTTCGCAGTTCTGTGGAGCATGCTCTCCAAGGTTGCCAAGAAACGGCTGCGGTGGCAAGTCCAGTGTCAGCGAGAAACATGAGATCAACAAAGCGACTAGTGATGAGGCAGCTCTTGTCCCCCTCAACCCCAGATTTGGGACTCATTGAATGGATCCTAAAACAACCAACGAATAAGGCCCACCCCCTTTTTCGGCAATCTCATGAATGAGGATGAAGGTAGTGGCAAGGTCGGTGGACCAATCTCTGAGGTGATGAACATTCTCCTTCAGGACCCGTGAACTCGTGTGAACTCCACCAATCGCGCTAATCTCAACAGGCTCTGCATATGTGAGGGGGTCAGATCCAGTCACTTAGGAACGCGAGAACACCGAGGTCGCGGGTTGGTCAAGCCGACCAGGTCGCGGGTTGGTGGTTTCAGTATGACCCAGTATGGTTTGAGAACTCTGCAAAGGTGACAATGTGCTTCCTACTAGCGATGCACCTTGTTACCAGGAGAGAAGAGCTACATGGAGCTACTTGTAGTCATGCCGTGCCCTTTGTTACTAGTAGCTTCTTGTTCCTAGTAGCAAGGCCAGGAGCTACTAGTAGCGTCCTTGCTATTAGTAGCGATGCCCTTTGCTCCTAGTAGCTTCTTGTTCCCAGAACCAGCTGTGCTTCCAGCGGCATTCCGCCGCCCGGTGATGCCCCGGTGCCTTCGAGCAAATGGTCGATCACCGCGCCCAACTTCTCGGTTCGCGCCTCGCTTTGTGGGAAGTGAACCACTGGTTGCAAGTGGGCGAAGTGGATGTACTTAGTCCAGAAGAGGAACATGGATAGTGCTGAAAACAAATTTCAACAACACGGTCACTCATGCAAAAAGAAGATGAGTATTTCCACATAGATTGGAAAATGATGAATAAAGATAACAATAATCTCTATGCAAACTTGCATCAACGTGCTGTGATGGTCTCGATCTTCGATAAACATATGACAAACCCGTAGACTCAAGATATATACATGCTTGGGCAGGGGAAAAGCCATGATTTTGTGGTACAGTATGTTCACGAAGGAAAGCAATACACTCAGAAGTTTGGAGTCAACTTGCACTCGAACCTCTTCAGGCCCAAACTCTGCGACATGTTTTGTTGGCGTCCATTGACTGGGCTAGAACATCATTTTATGGTATCATGGAGGTTAGGGAGTCCTATATTGGCCACGATCGAGACTTGGTGGAGACAAGTGAGGATTTGGGCTGAAGCCAAAGGCCCATGGGCATATGCGGCTCCCAACATGGAGGAAAGCGCAAAGCGCAAAAAAAACCTTTGTATGGAGTCACAGCTGGCAAAAAAAAATAACCTTTTCCACCGTTAGATAAAAAATAGCTATCCTGGCTATCCTACTATTATGGCAGGCAAAAATCAAGGAGCTTTGAGGCCTTGAAACTAGTCCAGTCTATTGAAAAAGTTGAAAGAATTGTGCTTCCTTCAACACCCTCTAGGGACCCCCCTTCAACGAAGACTTGCCCCGACCTTGCCTTCCGCTTTTCCCATGCTTCCTGCCAGCGAGAAAGCAGGGCATATGAGGCCGGCTTGGCATCCTAAATTGTGAGCAAGAAAACAGCATCAGCTACCCCTTGCACGACAAAAAATAAACAGCAGCCCTGGCAACATCAAGCAAATGAAGTCTCCACACATCACCTTAAACTAGTATGGCAGGAACACTGGAGGAGCTGGCCAGGTTCCCACTACACTCGATGTCCGATGACGGGACATCAACCATGTCTCACTTCCAAATTCATATTTGCATTCTTTTGCATTGGCATGACATCGCATGACATCCCAGTTCCCTCCAAACAACCTCTGCCTTCTTCCCCATCTTCCCCCATCTTCCCCGTCCCCCGTCTTCACGTTCCTTGCCTGCGACACCGGTGCCGACTGCACGGAGAAGGTCGGTGGCACCGAGGCCCAGGAGGCCTGAGCGAGAGGTGCCGAAAACCCCCGTGTTTGCCCGGTCATCTCTATTCCATTTCCAGAGAAATCACGCAGCAACTAATAGCAACCATATGCACGCATCCATAAGGGTACTTAGTACTGAGACATCTTGAGACAATTAGAGACTAGTTTGACAAGTTGCAGCATCGGAGAGTCACTCATACATGTGTGGTTTACTGTCCCGGCTACAGTGTAAAGCCACTTATTTGGAGAAATAACTTGGACAACCCAATGCTTTGCATGATGACTGAAGCTCTCTCTAATCTAGTGACTGTAGTAGCAAGTTGTCCAGTTGGTACTTGGGCCTCCAAATCACATGTCTAAGGCTTACTAAGGTTCCAAATCCCCAGCAGCGTTCCGACTGGTGGGAATCATGTGAGAATGTGAGACGGGTGGCAAAATGTGGATTGGACTATGGGTATCCTGCAACAAGAGTCCTTTGCTCAGTGATGTGTCTGCAGTCTACATACTATAAAACTGCACCTTTGCAGGCCAAACGTAGGTATCTATACAGTTTTGACCACACCGGTGACGACCAGTGATACCCTCAGTGAAGAATTGACAAGAATTGCATGACTGCACTACCTCTTGGAAAAGAAGAATATACATGGTTCATCCCAACCATGGAGAATTTGGCGTGCTTGGGGGGACCTCTTTATGGACGTATACAGCAGTTTGTCAAACACGGGCACTCGATTGATCAGGAATCGCCGGGATCGGATCCAACTATCCAGCAGAAAAAAAGCATCTGGGGCCAGAACCACTGGCATCTTGCCATAGAAACCTCAGCCGCGCTACAGCTCTTCTGCAGAGCTGGCAACCACCTATTTTGAAGCGCACTCCTCAAAAGAAATCCTTGAGCCCAAAGAACAACTTCTGCAGTCTTGACCCCTTCCTTTAACCAATGAAGCTCCAATGAAGCCTTAAATGCTAATGTAAGTTAAGTTTCCCTAAAAATCTAGGAACCAAATCCTGTCGGAGCTATCCTGCGTCCTGTCGGTAGTAGCTACTTAAGCTACTAGCTACCTCTAGCGGCTAGCGACTACCTACCTCACCTCCTGCGGGATATGGGGGATATGTTGGATCGGCATTGCCTCAGCGGTCGAAAGCGGAGACCCAGACCTTGTCTGCGACGTGAAGACTGCAGGTCAAAGAACATTTCTCCACCTGTTTCACATGCAAAACCAGCCAGCTCCTGTAGAAGGCATGATCTTTCGGGCCAAAAGTAGGTAAAGTTGTATATAACGAAATGATGGCGTTCCACAAGGTGCAAAACATTTCACCCTCAGGCGCCTGACAAGGGCGTGCCCTGTATGCCTCCCTTCATCTCACTTAGTTAACAATGTTGAACATGAGACAATATCAACACATATTTGTTAAAAAAGAGAGCAGGTGTGCTTGGGAGAGCACACACTAGCTCAAAACCTTAGAAAACACTGTAAATACCGTGCAAAATTTCAAAACTACTCTGGGACCTAGGCGAAACGCATATTTTTCAACCTTACTGTGCCCAGTCTGGATGCGCAATGTCAATTACAACAATTAACAGCTCTTCGTTTGCTTACTATCAATGTGTAACACCAATGACGAGTAGGCTAATCTTTCTCTGCACGCAATGAATGTAGCATCATGAGGAGCGAATATAAATATACTACTATACATATACATCAACAGGAACATGTATGTCAATGATATTGCTTTAACTTTAGTCTCTTGCTTCTGGCTTTTAATGATGTATTTTCATGTGTCCATTTTGTAAAAAACATCTAGCAGGAGCACCCGTATTGTTAATAAACAGCCCCCCCCTCCGCCTCACTTTGACCTTGAATAAAGTTCATTCCAGATTCTAAGAAAGGAGTTTAAGAAGTAAATGAAATGAATTGTTACTTAGATACTTAGAAGAGGCAACAAACATGTTTAGCTTTATTTTGGGGTGCACTTTATTTAGGGTATGGTGGCTTAAAGAAAGGAGTTTAATAAGGAAATGAAATGAATCTTCACTTAGAACAGAAAAGGAACTCTAAGAAAGGAGCTTAATAAGTCAAATGATTTTTTACTTAGAACAGAGAGGGAATTCTAAGAAAGGAGATTAATCAGGAAATGAAATGAATCTTTACTTGGATTCTTAGAACAGGCAACAAACATGTTTAGCTTTATTTAGGGTACACTTTATTTAGGGTATGGTGGCTTCGTGAAGGGTAGCCTTTCCAGAGTTGTTTTGATCAAAGTTCAATGGCTTTTTAATAAGGGTTGTATAGAGAATTTTCTACGCAGGACTTGCGTTTAGCGATACTGTCGGAAGCACAGTGGCGCCAGTACTTGGCAAAAGCCGTTGTACAAACCCTGAAATCTAAGTATGCATCCGTGTCAGAAATGCAATATATTAAAAAGACTGTGCAACTTATCACGAATGTCTGCTGCGCGACAAAGTTTAAGAGAAAACTAGAGAAAACCAAAAAAACAAAAAACATTTTTTTGTTTAAAAAAAAAAAAACTAAAACAAAAAAAACAACGGTTGAGACAAAATGGAGGCAAAAAAAAACTCCAACTTCTATAGTACCCATTTTGTCTCAAACATTGGTTTTTTGGGGTGTTTATGGTGTTTTGTGTTTGTTGTTTTTTGGGTTTTTGTGTTTTTGTTTTGTGGGTTTTGTTTTTGTTGGTTTTTGCTTTTTGGTTTTGTAGTATTTCCTCAAAACTGTTATAGGCCTGGCCCTCACAAAATTGATCTAACAATAGTTGAAAACCTAGGTGTTGGTGATGTTTTAGCCAAAAATCATTGTAAAACACAATGTATCCCCTCTAAACTGTTATAGGCCTGGTCCTCACAAAACTGATCTAAAAATAGCTGAAAACCTAGGTGCTGATGTTTTAGCCAAATCACTGTAAAACACAGTGTTTTTGATGACTTCTTGCACAAAAAAACATCCCAGGAGCACCCGTTCTGAAACAAAATAGGTGGTTTCCAACCTCGATGACCTTCTCAACTGCTCCAAGCTGCCAAGGTCGCTTTGCGCTGCCCAGGCCGGGAAGTTCCGCTGTGGCAGAGCACCATTGGCACCGCTCATCACAGAGCCCTCACACATAGGGTTTTTGGATGTCTTGGGGGCCACAAATGACAGTCAGTTCACAAACATGTAGTGTTGCTAGTTACTAAGTACTAACTAGCCAATGTCAAACATGCGCTTAGCAAAACAGGGTGCAGCTGTTTGTCAAAGGCATGTCAAAGTCTCTTTGTGGCGAAAAAACAACTCAGTACTGAATTTTTTCCCGCCTGCGTTCCCATGGGTGGAAGGACGCTATACTGGGGCAAGCCATCGGTATCTGACCTGGCGCGCCAAGAAGATCCTACATAGCCTGGATGAACCGGGACATATTGCAAGAAGCTATTAGGTTGGAGGCCATCGTTATTAGGTTGGAGGCCATCGCTACTAGTTGAAGCTCATTGAGTGAAGGCAAAGAGCATCATTTTCCAATTTATGTGGTTTATTTCCGTTAGTCCTTTCTGGGATTAAGGCTGCTCAAAGAAAAGCACACTTCTTGTTCGATACCTGCAGTGGCTATTTGTCTTCAACATGTCTGTTTACTGTGGTGAGTGTGTGTGGACCCAATTCAACTTACATATCTTATATAGACAAGTACCTTTAAGGCCCACTATTGTGAGCTCTCATGGATGTTGTCGTGGATTTCATCAATAATACCCCTAACCATGAATGTTTCAACATGGATGTTCAAGCTTTAGATAGCTTAAGTGTACAGTCCTGCCAGGTCATTATCACATCAGAGGAGTTTGCCTAGCAAACCCCGTGGAGATGCAACAAATCGTTAAGTCGGTCACGTCCTCAACATGGCAAGTTCAAGGGTCTGCCAAGCGTAGGCGCTCCAAAATCTCTTGCCCAACAACCTTGTGGCTATTGGCATTGCAAGTGGGAGTTCGCAAGCCACACACGCAACAAATCTTTGGTCAGGCCACCTGTAGAAGTATGCCAAGAACCTCATGTTGCGCAAGCAGTGAAAATCAGTGAAGATAATGTTTTGGGGGGGGTCTGGGCGAGGACTGTCTTCATTCCGATTTCGAGTGTCATGCCGTCGGTTTGGCAATGGAAGGTGTCAATTTCCCTGTGAAAAGAAACATTCAAGGCAAGGACGCTACTTAGGGGCTCCTGGATGTACTACTAGTAGCAAGAGGCTACTAGGAGCAAAGGGCATCGCTACGAACGGAGCAAGAACGCTACGTTCGGGGCTCCTATTCTCGCATGTTGGGGCGCCATCGTGCTTTGAGTCAAAGATGGGACCCACAGCGACGAAGAAAGGGGAACACTGGCCTGCCGAACCCAACTGGCCTGTGGGCAGATCGGAATCGCTTTGTCACAGCTGTAAAGTACCATAGACGCTAGGTATCCGGGAAAATCCTGAAGCCTCATGGAGCCCTAGGGTGAGCATCTGCCATTGTGAAAAAGAAACGCAAACAAAAAACAACGAGATGCTGTCGACGATAGAGTACAATTCTCTATATACTACCTACTGGTGAGTTAGGACTTTGCGCTACTAGTGAGTTAGGAGTTGTGCAGCACAAGGCCTAACTCATGAGGCCAAATCAAACCCTGCCATTTTAGAACAGCAGGTGTTCCATGATGAGATAGGAGTAAACATACAGCAGATTGCCAACAAGTCCCAACTCAGACTGCATGCACATCTCCAAAGTCTTATCTCATGTGTTGGCATCCGGCCAAACATGCCCTGGGCACACCATTTTTGTTGAAAAAAACTCAAGAGCGTTCCTGTTTTGCCTTGCTAGGCTTTATGAGATAGGAGTTGTGGACGAAAAGCGTGTCTCAAAGTACTTTTACTCATGAGATAGGACATTGAATTTTTGGCATACCTCCGACAAGTCCTAAGTCACTGGTCAGTAGTATAACTTCTTCAATGACTGACAAGTCTGACAAGAGCCAGTCTAATTCTGTGCATGTTGAGATACAGAAATCGGTAAACCAGCCATTTACGCCAATCTACAATCTACATCTTGTTCAGGAGAGTCTGCCATATGTCGCACATTATCAGACTATTGTTATGTCCACAGTCCTGGCGATCCAATTCGTGCTCGGCAGCTCATCGTAGTCAATCTGGCCATGCCCACTCTTATCTGCCTGACCGGGTGAAAGAAAACGGCACACACTGACCACTCCTGCTGGGATTCTTCAACTGCTAATTTCGAGCCACGTTCCACTAGGAAGCAGGGTGCAAGACATTGCCCCGCTAGGTCGCTGGTTTTCACTGCCTTTTCTCGGGCAGAATAGGTTGTTTGTCTTTTTTTGTCTGGGGCGAGTGTCTGATCAGCTACACAGCGGGGACTCCAACTGATTCTTGCCCGGCATGTACTCTTTTTCTTCGTGCAAGTCTCTGCATAGAATGTCAAAGCAAACTGCTTCCGGTCTGCAGTTTGCTTCGCTTGACCAAACTTCACGATATCCACTGCTATCGCACACGAATGCTGATTCCACCGTTTGTAGAAGTGAATTTCCGGGGATCAACACGAGCAGCTTGGATGTGTCTTACTGGGATTTCGGTCAGCTTGGCCTGGCGAAAGCAGTAAAGCCGCCGATTGTCCGCTGTCCACATCTTCCCGTCCAACGCAAATATCTGGATGATGGGTATACTTTGGAAGGCTGCACGGGGGTTTCTCTGCAACTCCTGGATGGTGCTCTGGAGTGAGCGCCCACAACGGAAGGAGCGTTTGATGCTCTCTTGAGTGTAGTGCAGCACTTCTGGATCCAAGCATGAAGCGAAGGAGCTGCTAGATCTTTGCGCTCTATAATCTATAATGAGAGGCCGAGGCACGATGCTTCTGTTGAGATTCCATGTGCTTGGTAAATCGGACAAACCCAGTCGAACAGCGTGGGTAAGGAATGTCGCCATACCCTTCGTGCCACTCTTTTGCGCAACCCGTGCAGGTCAAGGACGCGTCAATCAGGCTGTGAGAACCACCGGTCTTGCAGAACCGAACCAAACCATGTTCGCAGCGTGGACACTTGACACCTCCGCAGCCTTCAGACCAAGTCTTCTTGCATCCGGTGCAAGACAAGGATGCATCTGTCACAGGCCCATGCCACTGCTTCAAAAACTTCACAAAGCCACTGTTGCAGGTCGGGCAACGAATGCCCCCATGGCCTTCAAGCCAATGCATCGAGCATTTCGTGCAAGTCAATGTCGCATCATGTTGACCAACTTGGAAGTTGACAAATCCATCACAACAGCTAGGACACTTGATGGCACCAAAGCCTGCGTTCCATGTTGCAGCACAAGAAGTGCATGACAGTGTGGCATGAGAGACACTTGTGCCGTTCTCACTTTTGTGAACTTGACGAAGCCAGGGTCACGAGGATTTTTGCCACAGCAAGGACTGGTGATTGCTCCAAAGCCTTCAAGAAAGGTTGCCTGGCAGTTGGAGCAATCCAGTGACGCATCAGCAATGGAACCTCTTGTGCGATACGTTTTTTTCAAACCGAATATGTCCAAAGGCACACGAAGGACACGAAATCGCACCAAATCCTGGCTGCCATGTTGCTGAGCAAGAAGAGCAATCTAGCGTGGCATCAATCATAAGTAGTGCCTATTGCTGGAACCAAACACTTGCAAATACATCTAGATCCAAATTGTCTGTCTGTGCAAGAAATTTGTAATTTATATCAAAGGACATGAAGATAATGAAGAGGACAGTGATGATGGTCATGAACTGATGATGATGGTGGTGGTGACAGTGGTGACAGTGGTGACAGAGGTGACCAAGGTGACGAGGTGAGGTAGCATAGATGATTATGATGAAGTTAAAGTCTATGTGTCCTCGTTGCTATGCGAAACCTTTCGCAGGTGCTTTCGGGAACACCACAAAATCGTTCCGCCGACATCCAGGCCCCATCGTGCCAATGACAACTCTCAGGACTCCGCTCGTGTCGGGTTTTCGCTCGACCCGCCTCTCTAATGAGTTCTTCCATCTCTGCACCAAAGTGCTCCCCGAGGACCTGAGGCCATCGCTAGTAGGTTGAAAGCCATCGCTATTAGGTTGGAGGCTGCACCAAAGTGCTCCCCGAGGACCTGTTTGACAAAACTCCGGACTAGGCACCCAGAGTCAACACGATGCATTCGCCTGCAAGTTTAGAGCAGGTGCACCTGGCATCTCGCGGTAGCGTCTCGTCTCAGAGCTTCGAACAACTCATATTGATGCGTAGTTATACAGTTGTAATTTTTATTAAGTTGATAAATATAATATATAAGGAATCAGAATCAGGTTATAGTATACTGTATTGATTACTCGAGGTTATACAGTTAGGGTTGTTATAATTACATAATCATAATGTACATTTATGTACATGTCCACCTGGCAATCATGAAGCACCGCTGTCTAACGCACAGAAATTGGGCCAATGCAACAATGGGTTTGAAGGTCGATCCTTGCCTGGCTGGGTTTCCCGATAAGTTAAAAGGCGGGTATTCTGTTGGCCATGTATATAGGCTATCGATTCTTGTATTGGACATTGGCCTTGCTTTGGTTATGCAAAACCGCAAGACAAAATTGAGGTGAAGGCCAATTGTGGCATGTCAATTCTGCAAAAATTGTAAGACGGTAAGACGTGGGTGAATTCAATGCTTTCAATGTATCCAAGAGAAAAATCAGCCCCCTGCAAGTCTTGCTGCGGTCACACCCGCAAACTTGCAACCCGCCAAAATACAATCTCCAAGCGGCGCAGCGCAAGTTCTCGGCTGTGATCGTGCCAGACCTGGGTACGTAGCAACAAAAGCTTGGCGGCGACACTGGAGGCAAGCGAGCAATGCCCGATACAACAAGGATGAAAAAAGTGTTACTGTATTCATATTCTTCTTCTTCTTCTTCTTCTTCTTCTTCTGCTCCTCCTCCTCCTACTCCCTCTTCTTCTCCTTCTTCTTTCTCGTTGTCATGTTCCTTCCCTTGCCTTGTCCTCTATCCATTGCTCTTTTTGAATATTTATGTGTCTTTCTGTTTTCGGTGTCGTTGTCCTGCATCTTTTGTGTTCCTTTCCTGTTTTCCTTGGTTTCCCTTTCCTCTAACCGTTCCTGGTTTGAGGGTTGTTTGGTTTCCGACGAATGCGGAGACACTAAGAGGGCTTCCCTAAACAACGTGTCCACAGAAGCCCGTGTCCTAAATGGAGGTTTGCCCCCGAATGCGCAAGCGGATTTTGTGACACGTGTTTCTGAGAGATGACAGCGGGCTGTTTCGAGCTGTAGACCTTGGTCTGCTGGTTTGTCACTGTCCATGCTTTTTGATTCCTCTCCTTCCGCAGTGCTAAAAATGAAAATATATAATGAAATATATGCAAAATGTGGTGCAAAGTGAAGTCAGTGGCCGTGGTTTGCTACTGATCAGATGTGGCCGTGGTTTGCTACTGATCAGATTGTTGCTTGTGCCTCACGTGTGCTGCTTCACGCATGCCTCCAATGCGCAGCATGCTGTGAAATGTTTTCGGGCTCCACGCTGTGGCGACAGTGGTGGCGATGGTACTGCAACTTGCTGCGGTTGTAGAAAGAACCAAAAAGATTTGCTTTGAAAGCTTTCTAGGTGTTCAAGAAAATTGGCTCATTCCTCCACATTCGTCAACCGCCCATGACCCATCCCTGTCACTGTGGGGTTGACCGACCGCACGCTACGCATTGGCTTTCGAAATGGGTGTCGCACTCGCTCTTGTCGAAGCGACCAAAGGTCTTCCGCAGCAAGTCCTGTGGTCTTCCGCGCTCCGATGGAACCGGGCCCCGGAAGCGGCTGGGGGCGAGGAATTCTTGGTGACCGAGGCGGAAAACCTTGAAGATAGACTGTCCAGATGCAGCAACTCCAGCATTTATCGTGACTCAATGGCTCAATCGTTCAAAATGACTGTGCGAAAAGAAGAACCCAAGCGCGAAAAAATGCAATACACAGGTTGTGGTAGAAGTCTTGGGCCTCTTATTCACCATCAAGTCTGTCAAACACACAGGAGCACAAGAAAGGGGGGCCAGTACAACGTTGTACCCGACCACGCTGAGCTTTTCTGTGCCCCGATGCCCACTCTTGCTGCACACCAAGTCCACCCGATCCACCCACCTCGTGCACTTGCACACGGCCAATGAGGGCCGCAGCGAGGAACCTTGGGTAAGTCACTGGATCGGGGAAGCAACCCGAGGCGAGATGTGTGTACATCCCAGGCAAGCAATATGTGGAAGCTGGATCAAGGGTTGGAACAAATAAAATCTTAGCATCGTCGCCTGCTATTGCATCCAACTTCAGGTGAACGGTGAACCCATGCGACTGAGCTATATAAGTGGTACAGTGTGTGTTGAGTAGTGATGCGGCCTAGTGGTCTGTTGGAGGGCCCAAAAAAGGCCCTGGAATCGGGCTTACACAAGCTTCCATTTCTAAGATGATGATGAGAATCAGAAACTCCTGCAATACTCTCATGGAGCCAGGATGTCTGCTTTGCAGTGGACCACAAAGTCAGCAAGCATTGAAACCGAGACTTGCCGTACTTACCACTTGAACAACGATCTTAATGTTACAACATGTTACAACTAGTATCAATTAGTTACACTCACCATATACATGGACAATGGACACGCAAGTGCGACGCTTGGTGATGCTGTCAGGTCTGGTGGCGTGGCCATGCATGGCCTATGTTGTGTACCCTCCCAATGAAGAATGGCCTCACATCCTGAATAACATGTGGGGCGTTCAAAAATGCCAAACCCATATGGCGATCGGAAGGGAAGATAGACCTGTGGCTCCCCTACGGGCCCCTACATAAGAAATCCTGCCCTACCTGTTCAATGAAGAGTAGGCACCATAAGCACATTTCTGAGAGTGTTTCCAGGGTGTGCCAGGTGTTTGTTGGAGTTTTTCCACCACCAAAACGGGTTGAAAGAAGCTTCATGACCCAAACGCCCTCGATGCTCATCTCCTGAGTCGTGTCCGAGACGTGCTTTCTGAGTGTTCAGCTCGCTGTATTCAATCGTGTCATCGTTGTCCGTGTCGAGGCAGCTAAACAAGGCCTGCAGCAGCTCATAGAGGCAGTGGCTAAGGAGATAAAATCCAGAAAACGTCTCTAGTGCTCTGGGTCACAGAAATGAAGACCCATAACCCACAACCTAGACACGCAAAATTAAACTATATATGTAGCACACTTCCCAAAGACACGCATAATTACTCGGGACAAATCCAATGTCATAATCAGCACTGTACAAATTGAACTCCCTCCTCCTTCTGCCTTGTATGCATCTGCAAAGCTTCTATAGAGTACTGGGCCATTGGCCATTAGATTCAAACACCAGCTTTGACCGTCAATGGAAATCAACATTTGATCCATGACATGTCAGCTTAGACCCTTGCTGATGATGAGTCAAAGATGTCCCCATGCTCGGTGCCCCGAAAGAGTTTCCGGCCTCAGCCTCCGCCCCGTCCACGTGGAAGTTATCCTGAAGGGGGCGCAGTTTTTTATCCGGCATGAAGTGCCATGAAACGATGAATGAGTTCCTCAGGAAAACCATTCTATATAAAGATGCAAAGCAACAACATGCAAAGCTGCTTCCTACAACCAGGGTTGTCCTACAACGGGCGATTTGCTTCCCACAGCTGGGTGGGCTTGCAAAATATGTCGGTTGTCGGTCCTTTAGCGATTAAGTTTCTTCAATCGTGCGTGGCCACCCACACTTCCTAGGGTCAAATGGAAGCATCTAAAGCTGAAGAACTTTAGCTGGCCCTTTCCTCCTTGAGTTCTATCTACTTTCTGACCTTCCAAGCCCCTTGTGCTTCCTGCCCCATATAGCTTTTGCTTTGTCCTGCAACTTTCTTCTATCTTCCTGCCCCAAGAAATCCCCTGCCGCCACAGCAAGTTAGCAATCCTTATATATAGTGAGGTCATTCACCAGAGTTTAGGGCATTGATCCCAATATGTACTTCAAGCATCTCTGTTTTCTTCCATCAGGCCTTTGTCGGGGTCTCCAGATTTTGCGACACCTACGTATTGTCAATTGTATTTCCCAATTCCCCAGCCGACTTGGACATCGATATGTCTCATCCCCTATATATGTCTCACCCATCCCAAAACTTGGCCTCTAGTACGCTCTTCATCTCCAGCATGGTGATGGTACCTCAGAAACAACAAAGGCATGCCTTTGTTATCATGTATCATCACTTAATATCACTTATCCAAAGAAGAAACATCATGAGGTTGATGAAAGCGAATTTTGCCCAGCACATCCCAGCACCATGGTCTGAACACTTTCCAGGTCGGCTCATGTATGCATTTATTTCCCCCCGTACGAGTACATGGAGGTTCTGATTCTTGTCTATACATGTCTATGCTACGTACCCACGTCTACCTTTTTTCGTCACACCCACTGCTGACCAAAGGGACTTGAGGTGGTTTGACAATGTAATGTAGGACACTACTTACTTTGGTCAAGAACAAGTCGAAGCGGACACGTGAATTCCAGGTAATCCTTTCACCATGGGGACGTACGCAGGAAAATCGTACAGAGACTCATTCGTCGCCAGAATGCAGGTCGCAAAAGTATCACACTTGTCACAATTGGCACCGAAAAACTCGGCAGATAGGGCGGTCACATGGTCCGAAATGAAATATAGATGACCAAATCCACTTGATTTAGGTGACACTTGTGTATACTTGTGTTCCTGTTGCAAGAGCATGGGTCACTGGCAGTGTTTTCGGATTGGCAGCAAGTCACCTCGCTTCTCCCGGTCCATCGCAAGAAATTGCTCATGCAGCAGGTTCCGGTCCTGTCCCCGAAACGGCACACGGGCACTGAGTCGTGGCTGGACGTCAGAAAGGGATCTGTTGAGATGTGAAACAGGCCGCACCAGGCCCGCTACATTTGCATGCATCATGTTTTTTCTAAGAGTCTAAGAGGAACTTGAGTGTCTTGCACCCAGATGCACCTAGCAACAACTTGTCGCAACATCGAACGAAATGGCTGGATAGCTGACTTGCTGAATCTGAATACACTCCCAGAAGTTTGACAAACTGACGTAGCTTTGCACTGGCCCCCCCGGATCAGGAACTGCCCAAGCGGTCGGAGCAAGCCTTGGTTGACTTGTCCAACCGTTTCAACCATGGTTCGGCTCTGGGTTTTCACCCACCATCATATAAGACACTGGGGAAAGATCATCGGTTCGACCCCCTGGTAACCAATTGGAGGATCCTATTCTCATTTCCCTCTTCGGCCACCTTTTTGGACGCGTCGGTGGCCCAAGGAATGGCCTCGTTGGACAGGGAGAGTGCCACGATCGACAGCAAGGCCCTTCGGAAGGCGCTGGCCCGCGCCTCGAGAGGATCAATGCGAAAGAACGTGAATCACGTGGTGGGTGAAGAGGACCATTTGGGTGAAGAGGTCGCTTCAAGGTGCTTCGGAAAAAAAGATAGAGAAACTGAAAAACGTGTCTCTAGAGATAATAGAGTTGTGGGAGGAGAATCTCCTATCAAGGGTTTTGCTGCTCAAGTCTCATTCTTGAATGTCAATGGGGGGTGTGACTGGCATCATGTAACAGGCATCAGTGTGTGGCCGGTCCAGAGAAAATCGAGTTGTCACTGGCTTTCAAACCACTTTGAAAACCCAATTGCAAGGTCTGATCATGTCGCTTCCTCAATCAGCCACCGGGGACCCGAACGAACTTACGGAGGCTTCGGAGGATGCCCGGCTCCAAGAAGCGCTCCTGACGGCGAACGAGGCGAAGTGCGTCGTAGAAGCGTAGTGCTTAGAGTCTAGTGACGTCCTTGCTCCTAGTAGTAAGGCCAGGAGCTACTAGTAGCGTTCTTGCTCATCTGAGTATCTGATCTTGAAGTAGCACAGATCTCGGACTTCAAGAGCAGACTGCTTCAGAGCCGCTTCTACCATGCTTCGTTGTTGGGATGGTGGGATATCTTGCAGTATTGTTACTGTCGAGTCTATGGTCCAAAGTAATCCAAAGTGATTCAAAACAGGAGAGCACTCGGTTTAAAGTGTTTGTGTTTAAATTGTTCAAACTACTTTGACCACCTACAAAGAACCACTGGAATCACTATCACAACAAAGTGAATATAGGGTTGTGGTCCTTTGCTGCTGGACGAAGAACATTCAGAGAATCACCGATGAAATATTGTCCACTCTTTGAAGTGTTTTGACACATCGTTGACCTCTTCAATCAATTGTAGCCACAAAGGAGAGTGACCCTTTATCCAGTTTGTCTGTCTACGGGAAAAAAACATTCATATATCCAAATCGTTTCTGTCAACCTGACCTCTCCCTCCCACCTTACAAAGCCACGAAAACCCAGACCTTGGACTCCGGACCTCCTGTACGATCTTGCTTCGCAGGAAGGGATGTTCCAACCTCGACGGAAGCAAACTCGTTTCATCACTTCTCCCACGACGACGGGAGCGACGCCGTGGGAGGCTCCAGCGAACACTCTTTTTGTAACCCCAACAGCATGCCCTGCCTAGCAATCACTGTCTGTTGTATTCTTCCAGGATGGATGTCTATCAAAGGATACTGCACGGAAATAGGGTCTCCTCACATGAGAAGTGGATAGCACACCAGCACGAGGGCAACCAAGCAAAGCCTTTCCTCAACGGCACCTCCCCGGATCTCATTCTTCTCCAAAGAGCAAGGAGTCTTTAAGCCCTCCCCTTCTTTTCCCATCGACGCTATCAACTGTGAGTTCACCGGCACCTGGTGTACCTGCTGCACCTGTGTCCCCCCCCACACCGACTGCCCCAGGATCAAATGGTTTCTGCCAAGCGCATCTGCCAACTGGGCGCACGGACGCATCCTTCGCACTCAGCCGACTGCTGGCGTCCACCAACAGCTTCTGGCCGGTGAGATGGGTCATTCAATGTATACCCAATGAGGTTGGAGAAAAACAACACAATATATAACTATATAAATATAATTCATATATATATATATATGTGTATATTGTGTATATGTATATAATATGTGTCTTGTACGACATGTATTTTGATCAGGAGTGTTCAGCCAAACGTGATCACCATCTTTGTGAAAGCAAATGCCTTCACTCCAAAAATGGACACCCACAGGAGGCCTGGGGCGAGGAGTTTCCTCTAACCAACAATGAATCTTGTGACAAGTGGAAGAAACAGGCGACAGGGCTGGTCAAATTGAATAGCATCCAGCTAGTCAACCTAAGGGTGCTTTTGGAGGTGGACCTGTTTGGGGGGTATACTCAACTCAAGTCGATGCACTGTGGAATGACTGGGTTCAGGTTTCTGAAAATATATCCTCCAAACGGTGACCCAGTTTCACAGCTGAAAGAGGTCAGGCAAGCCTGCCGGGGAGGGTTGGGACTTTTTCGGGGGAAGGCAGAAGTCTCAGATGCAAACTCTACCTTGCAGGTTACTTGAGGGTGCACTAGAGTACACTGTTTATAACACATATTATAACACCGCAAAAAGAAATAACATCACACACCGAAATCACATGTTGCAGCTTCGGCCGGGACACGTGGTTGAAACCTGCAACATGTTCGATCGAAAGATAGGGTGCAGCGCTGCAATGAACTCCACCGATGTCCCCGACTCTCCAGCATTATGGTTTCAACTTGAAGGAGGAAAGACAGCAGCATGTGGGGGCAACAAATTACAAACAACCTGGGCAAAACAAAAGCAGCATAATTACATATCACTGTCAAATATCAATCTTGGTATTTCTTTCCGCAAGAAATCCTCCTTTGTCTGCCGCCTGTACAAAATCCTTGGCTTGTGGCGAAAGTGCCAAGAACCGCCTCAGCACTCGGTGCTGAAGGCGCTCAGTGCGAAAAGAGCGAAAAGAGCGTCGACAGGATAGGGGTACAGGGCTGGGTACAGGAGGTACAGCCAAGGCTTGGGTATCTGATGCTTAGGTTGGTGCTGCACTCAATTTTCGTTTGTTAGGTAGACCTTGTTTTGAAGAGCATGTCGAGCTATGCATGTTTTCCAGATTCTCCCAGTCCCAACTTGTTCGCTCGAACCCTAAGAGTTGGACTGAGCATGTTTGTGTTGCAGAAGCATGTCGCTAGGCAGCGCCCACCTTGCTAACATGGTTGGCCTAGTGAAGCTGTACTTTTCGGGACATAGTTGGGGGTCATCAATGAGCTGGGATGTTCTTGGCACACCTGTGTGAAGAGCAAATTGGTAATCCTATGTGTTCACAACGAGGCGGTGATTCCCACTTCAAGTTGTCAAAGGTGCAGAGAGGGTCTCATTGTGTACAGATATATATATACACAGTATTATACAGTATACACAATATTATATATATATGTATCAACAAGGAATATAATGAATATATATATATATATATCAACAAGAAATCAACATTAAAGAAAGGATCAAACTGAGCCGACAGAAGAGACCAAGGCTGCAACGAGGCATCTCCGTAGAGTTCCATGATTCGGATGTCTGGAATCCAACAAAAGGCGCTGGCATCTGCCAGTGCTTTGGTCGACCACTATTCCAAAAAAATGCCTGTCCCTCATCCTCTTCCAAAAAAATGCTAGCTTCCGAGACATCCTGCTAGCATCCTGGGCCGATTGGATTGTCTCGGTCCAAGATGCTGCGACCAGTGTGGCTGTCCCGCTCGGATCTTCGTTAAGACCTCGGATGGATGGCTCGTCTTCGGAGCGTCATCGACGACTAGGGAGCTTGGAAAAGAGATTCGTTGCATGCTTCGGGATGAAACATGTCTCTGGAAGCGTATATCGTCCCTCTTATGGCATTCCGATGCAGATCAATTAAGAAAGGTATTCGCAACGGTTCTATGCTACGAACTACTATAAACATAGAAGACATGCTCGTTTCATGCCGCATGTGCAAATACTTCTGCATGTGTATGTATTTATATATATATATATACACACGTATATATATATATACAAAATATCATGTGTCATCCTCGGACCTGCGAATAGACCAACATGAACGAGCAAACAAACAAACAAACGGTCCAAAACAATGACAAAGGTGCTTTGTACCATTCCTTCTATTCCTTTCAGCTCAACCCTGGCCCTGACCCGGACCCCTTCCAGCGTGCAACAGCCTTTCGCGCGGACGGCACGAAAACCACACACGGTGGCGCGGTGGCACGCAACGATTGAGGGCTCTCAGCAGGTTTAGTCAGGTACGCACAAGCAAGGCTGCTTGATGAGGTCTTTCTTTGGCCCTTTCTTTGGAGCAACTGTCAAGTGTTTGCGCAGTCAACAAACCAATGGCCACGGCTTTGATTTTCTTTGTGTCCTCGTCTCAAAAGATGGCAATCCCCAGGTCAACATCAAGTGAGGTGGAGAGGAACTGGATTCTTCGTCAAAGTACCCCGCCTAGACAGGCAACAAAGAGACATAAAGGAATGCATGGCCCCAAGCAAGGGTCAAAACAACACATACAGACAGACTGACAACCTGGCGTGCTGGCTCCTGGACCAAACAATGGAGTCACCCAAATCTCTTGCACCTGCGTTCAAAAGCCCGCCGTTTCACAGCCATCCCATTACTGTTGACCCTTCCCCCATCGGAGCTTGTCGACGGGCCGAAAGCGGAAGGATCACAAAATCTGCTGTCGGGTAGGTCGGGACAAATCCATGGGGAAACTCTGGTCTTCCTCTTCTTTGTTTTTTTCTTTAGGCCGAAGGGGTAGGCCGCTAGAGGTAGGTAGCTGGTAGCTAGGTAAGTAGCTACTACCTACAAGTAAGCTACTACCGGATGCAGGCTAGCTCACGCTTCTTCAAGGAAGCTCCCCCCACCGCCCTAAAGGCAGCGGGGGAAGCTTCGGGAAACTTATATAAGTATATAATATATATATACTATATTCATTAGAGATTCTGAGCATCTCCAAATGCTGATCTTTGCAGGAAGGGTGATCCTGCAGGATGGATATCCAGAAGCAGGGGGTCCCCCAGTTTCATCAAGAATCCAACAATATCCAACACAGCAGTCAAGGAGGCTATTCGCAGGATCCGCCCGAGCAAGAAATAACAAATGCCTTTTACATGAACGATTGAGGCCCCAAACTGACCAACCAGTTGAACTACAGTTGAGTGACAGAGTTTCAGTCAGTGTGTGAATATGTGTATTAAATATTACATTGTATTGTAAGTATAAGTAAGATATTGTAAGTTCTAGCAATCCTGGAAGAGAACCCTGTACATAAGTTTGCCCTACCTACAACAAACCCTGCTTAAAACGTGAAGAAACAAATTCACTATATACAAACTGGTTCTCCCCTGGTGGCTCTTCCGCTGATGTCGATCTAGGCAAGTCCCCGGAGCCGTGTTCACGGCGCTGTGTCAATTTGAAGTTGGGTCGGCTACCCCTGAAGATTCTCTGATATATGTTGTCACCCTGCTGAGTGTCACACTTATACGTACTGTAAAACCTCTGAAATTCATCCAGTTTCAATTCAAGAGAGTCACATGTTTTGAGTTTCCCAAGCCACGACTTGAAGCCAACAAGAAGTCAGGACCTTGGAAGGTCACATCCTTCGCCAGGCGAAGCGAACCAACTCCGTCCTTCCCTCGTGCTAGCATGCATGGACATCCCATCCGCTTCATAAAAGTCTAGCACTAGTCAGAGAACTGCTCCGAGGGTCTAAAGTAGCGTGTCAAAGAAGTACAGTGCGTTTGCCTTAAAATATATTTTAGATTGTTTAAACAAGGTCCTCTCTGGATCTAGGTGTCTGACGGGTCCTCACAGTCCTTTACTGCTGTTCGAAGTAAGCATGTTCCGTCACAAAGAAAAAGAAGTTTGGGGAGGTTACGGTTACAGGTTCCAATGTGTAGATTACCTTCCCAAACTGCGAACTGAAAGCTAAGCTGTTTGTGTGTGTGTACGACTTCCATCCACCCCTTACTGGTCCAATGTGCATTCATCCGAGCAGTCGCAGCATTAAATTGTCCAAGTTCTGTGCATGAATGGTAATAAAATTTGTTTCTAATAGCTTCTTGTTACTACTAGTAAGGCACCTGTTACTACTAGCGTGGCACTTGTTACTACTAGTAACAAGAAGCTAAATAAAATGCAATAAACACCAAAAAATAATCCAAATACGTCGTGTTCGTGCAAACAACTCCGTGGTTTGATGTTCAACCCACATGTACGCATTTCGTTTTCGTGTTCTGTTCCCGCATGCAGCAAACCAAAAAGTATGCGTTTAGAGTCTTAGAGAGATACATGCATCCATTGTCTGCACATGACTTATACAAGCCCCCTTGAAGATGAAACTGCGTTTGGTTCGAGCTCAATAATTGAAACATTCTATGGACTAAGCGATTTGATCCAATGAGTATAACTGCCATTGCCATTGCCTGCGCTTTGCAAAAGCTAGAGACAAATCGTAGAAGAGAAGAAAAGAAAGAAAAACCACAGAGCTTAATGAGTTCTCCTCGGAATGTGATCACACATGGGGCAAAGGACGCTTTTCATGGGACTGTTCGTCCCATCAGGGAGGTTGCAGCAAGGACGTCACAGGGGTTGGCCCTTTTGTGTCGACTCACTGGGTAACCAAACTCTGCATTGGGGAAGCCAAACTCACAGGGTAGGTGACTCGTTGCGGTGACTCGCTTTCGGTGAGTTGAACAACCAACGCTGGCTCTCAGCTCGGCTGGGAGCGCCAGGCTTGAGGGCAAACTGGCAAAACTCACAGAACTTCTTTCATACTTACGTTTTGAGCTTCACCAGACCACCGGGGTGCTGGATGATTATATATGTTCCACAGATCGTCTTGCTAGCACCCAACCCCACCGGTCTGGTGGGGTGTCAGCATCACTACAGGCTCTGGACAGTGCTGATGTTTTTGAAGTGAACAATCACAAGTGCTAGGGTGAGAAAAGACCTGCCAAAAGGGCGACTCTCCAGTTCCAACTTGCTTTGCAAACCACTCCTCTCAAAATGGATCAGCAGTTACAACTTGTTGTTTCCCTTTGCATCATTGAATCAGCTGAGTGGGGTGTGACAATTCGATCTACAGTAGTTATAAATAAATCATGGCCAGTCCATGAAAGTTCTGGCATCATGGATTTAAGACCACCAAGGTCACGCGTGTAATTGCTGCACAGCTCATGCTCCCACAGGGTCAGGTCTCTGGGATTCTGGTTGTCATCCCTTTAAAAAGCCCGACTGCGTCATGCCCCTGCTGAATCACGGCTGGAAAGATGCAAAAACAGCCATCAATAGTCACAACCACGTACGTGGGCTGCTAATTCTCCGAATTTGCGAATTTGAGGAGTACACCGGCAGATTCTTGAGAGCACGTTGTAAAAACTAAATATCTGCAGTCTCTCCAGAAACCCAACAACCCCTCACGGTAAAATTTGGTCGCTCCGCAAAAGATTCCGCATGCCATGACTCGATCACAGGCTTACACAGAGACATCACTATTACATACTATTACCATATTTAAATTCTCCACAGCTCGTACCCTAGATGCAGCCTGGTTTTGCCAAGCCTGCCAAGCTATTGATCTTGGAGCATGGCAATTGATGTCTCCCGCAAATGCCATGCGTGCTTGTCTGTGGTCCATGAATAAGCTCGTCCTTTTGTTGATGAACAAGTGGTTGGGGATTGCCCAATGTTCAGACTAGCGACATTCTGGCAGTTCGAGATCTGGTCCGTTACATCCCAAACAAGGAAAAACGTGCTGATGTGATAAGAATTTCATGACTGCCAATGCGGCACAGAAACCAATGTCTCCTCCAGAAGTGCGTCTTCTAAAAAATGAGCCACGTGACGCATGCAGAGAATGCACAGATGAACAGGCTTTACTGTCTGCGTCTTCTCACCAATGCTTTGGCCCATACATCCAATAGTGTTGCCTCAGTCGCGCTTCCCCAGAACCTCCGCTCTGAGACATGGTCTACATGTGAAGGTAGCACTGCAGGGGGGTTCTCATGCCACCTCCAGCAGCCAACTTTGGAGCTGCGTAGAAAGCAAAATTGCTGAGTTCAACATCGACTTTTGGGGGACTGACATTTATTGGTCAAGACCCTTGTTGCCTACACTTCTCAAGCCTGAACTAATCCATCAATCTACGCCTGTCCGGAATTCAAGCTCGGGTTTGACACACGAGTCCTGGCAGATTGGGCGCCAAGGTGAAGCATCTGCTTCTTTGGAAAGTGATCACAGCTCCACAAATAGATTTGCAGAAACAAGCTCCTGTTTTGCCTGAGTCTTTGCTAGTGATGCTGGCAAGTGTAAGGCACACCTAACAATGTCTATGTCTATTTCACTCCTCAACCTTCGAATCGAATCTTCAGAATTCGCATTCTCACATAACAAAGAACTACTAAACACACACTCAAGATTTTGCGTACTGAACTGAATGCCGCATGCGACACGGCAACCTAGGTACCCAAATTCCTGAGAAGGCAAGTAAAGGGGTCTGATTATCTCTAGTCGTTTGTCGTTAGGAGGCCAAAGGTCCAATCCACGAAGCGACGACAAGACGAAATGATGGCGGCCGCTCACATCTGCAGAATGCATTAGCCCTTTATGGGAAGTTTGGAGTAACAGCTTGACAAAGCAGGTACGTCACGGTGATCAGCGTGATATCCGCATGTACTGTGGCCGCTTCGTTGGACCATCGCTCACAGCACATGGATGGTCCCCC